TTCCCCTGAGCGAACGCCGTACCGATAATGAAGCGACGGCGCCAGCCACCGCAGCAACGGCTACCACGCCGTCAGTGACGTCAGGCCGCACCGCTCCACCATCCGCGCCCGCAAAGCAAGTCCGGTTCGCGGATCGCCCTGCTATCGCCGCTCCACGTCGCAGCGGCAGGGTCACACGGCCTCCTTCCCGACTCCAGGTCGACCCCTGTCTGCAGTCATATGCGTGATCGACTGAAGGGGGGGGGAGGTGGGCGTGGGGGGAGGTGTACCATACGCCATTATTTAGTGGCCACGACTCTCGAGTCAGCTGTTTGCTCCCAGTCAGCTGTTTGCCGAAACAGCTGAACGCGGGATAGCGGCAGAGTGTGTTTGGATTGTCTCGTGTCATGAAGGTGTGGTGCGCAGAATACAAGAAAAGCATCAGAACACGGACGTCGCCCAGACGGCATGACGACCCTTCCCTATGCAGGAGGGAAGTGCCTCGTTTGGGACGCTACCTGCGTCGACACGTTCAGCGCCTCATCAGTCAAGGCATCCGCGGCCCGAGCGAGCTCAGCTGCAACCGTCGCCGAGAAACGTAAGCGCCATCGCTATGCCGACATAAGTCGACGCTATCAATTCCACCCTGTCGCCATAGAGACATCCGGAGCGCTCGGCCCGGACAGTTACTCCTTCTTGAAGGAGCTCGGCCGCCGTATTGTGAAGACCACAGGAGACCGACGGGACTTTGAACGCCTCATGCAGCGCGTGTCTGTGGCGGTGGTGCGCGGCAACGCCACAGCCGTTCGACTTGCGAGCGTCAGTGTGAGGCCGAGTCACAGAGCCAGCATTGAACCAAAACCACTTCCATGGCCACCCACAAACTCAACTGGCACCGAAGCAAAGCTCCCACCGGAGCAGCTACCAACCACCACGTCTCTTACGACCAGACCAGCAGAACAGGAGATACTGGATCCATTGAACATGGGACTTCCCAACAATGGTATAAGCATGTGCCAGCACGTGGGCAAGAGCGTCAGCCTGGCTGACATTAAGCGGCAGCTGAAGTCGAACCGGCGGATCGGCGCCTGCGACAAGAAGGTGCCGACCCCGTGCACGGCACCCGCGGATGGGGAGGAGCAGTCGGTGCCGTCGGGCGCGCAGCTGCCGCACGGCGTCTGGCTGTGCATGCAGTGCGGCCACCAGGGCTGCGCGAGGCACGCCACGCAGCACTTTAACACGCCGCGCTCCGACTCGCACACGCTGGCCGTCAACGCCGCCGCCGACTGGGGCGTCTGGTGTTTCACATGTAACGAGAAAGTGTCACTGAAGAGTAATAAGAAACTTCACGAAGCTGTGCAGTTTGTCAAGAAAAAGCAGGGAACTCTACGTCCCGGGGCCACGCCATCCAAGGAGGACACTCCGCCTCCCAAGTCTTCCAAGGGCGCCTCCGCTAAGGAGAAACAGGCTCAAGCGGACCGTGATAACGAGTCACTTCCGAAGGTCAAGGGTCTGATCAACCTGGGCAACTCGTGTTACCTGAACTCGGTGCTGCAGTGTCTGAGCCAGTGCCACTACCTGACGCACTACCTAGACATCAGCAGCCGCTCCGGGCGAAAGGTCACAGTCAGCGCTAACGGGGAGACAATGGAGCTGGTGCTGCCGGAGGGCGGGCCCATCACCGCCTCGCTGTGCGACTTTCTCAAGTAGATGCACATCACGGGCACCGGCTCCACCGTCTCCCCCAGCCATCTGCTCAGAAAGATCGCCCTGAAGGTGCCCCAGTTTGTGGGCGGCGACCAGCAGGACGCACACGAGCTGCTGCGAGCGCTCATGGAGCAGGCGCGGCTTGAGGATCTCCGGCGGCACCAGAAGCAGATCCTGCTCGGTCTGGGGCTGCCGGCCAAGGCCGACCCCAAGGAAGCACCCGACGACATGAAGGCGCGTGCCAAGGTGCTGGGCCGCCAGGTGTCGCATACGACCATCGACTCCATCTTCAGCGGCCAGCTGGTCAGCCTAGTGGTGTGTCAGGCCTGCATGGCCCGCACACACCGCATGGAGCCCTTCCTCGACCTCTCGCTGCCCGCCGCCGAAGATATCATCTTCAGCCCGCTGTCGGAGCTCGACCCGCCGCCGCCCTCTGTCAGCGGGGAATCGACGGAAGACGAGCTGAACGAACCGCCGGCCTCAGTCAGTCCGGATCCGCCGGCTGACGAGCCGCCCGCCTCGGTCAGCCCCGACCCGCCGCCTGACGAGCCGCCTGTCTCGGTCAGCCCCGACCCGCCGGCCGACCTGGCCGCGGAGGAGCTCTCGGAGCGGCTCAGCGCGCTGATTGTGGACTGCGCCGGCGCCGCGGCCGCTGCGGACTCGTGTGGGGACGAGCCGGGCCCGCTGACAGTGAACGGCCGGCTGTCGTCACCGGTGGAGGCGGACGCGGCGCCGGCCGGGCGGGTGCCACTGGTCGGGGAGAGTGCTGACAAGGCCCCGAACGGTGCGCCGGAGACGGCGGGAGCGGACCAGGTGGGGGAGAAGCAGAGCTCTGTGCCGGCGGAGAACTGCGGAGAGGCAGTGGAGGCGCGTGAGAACAGTCTGGGCGCTCCGAACGGTCACTGCGGAAGGGCAGCCGAGGAGGCCCCGCGGGAGGGTCAGTCGCCGTCACCCGGTGAGGTGCCGGGCGGTGTGCCGACGGAGGCAGTGGCGAACGGCCAGAGCTCAACGGCAGGGGCGGCGGACGGCGGCGAACTCCAGTCTGCGCCGAACGGCGGGACCTGCGCGCCAACCGAGTCTGTCCCGGCCGAAGGGACGGGGACCGGTGAGGGGGAGGACCCCTCACCGGCGGCCGATCCCTCGGACGGCCCGCCGCCGACGCTGAGCCGCTGTGAATGGCTCAGTCGAGCGCTGACCACTCTGGCGCCGCGCTACCAGGCGGCCGCCGGCGAGTGCAGCCTGCTCACCTGTCTCAATCAGTATACGGCGCCCGAGTTGCTCACCGGCAACAACAAGTTCGGCTGCGACAACTGCACCGAGCTGCGCAAAAAAGGGCTCACGGCGGCTGAAAAAGCAGCTGAGAAGAAACTGGGCACATTATACAGCAACGCCAGCAAGCAGCTGCTCATCTACAGTCCGCCACCGGTGCTGACCATCCACCTGAAGCGGTTCGGGGTGTGCAGCTTCAGCCTGCGGAAGGTGAACCGGCACGTGCAGTTCGGCGAGCGGCTCGATCTGGCCCCCTTCTGTTCCTCCATCAGCCAGGACCTGCCTCAGATGCGGGCCGGCCAGCGGCGGGTGCTCTACTCGCTGTTTGGTGTCGTTGAGCACAGCGGTCGACTGACCAGCGGCCACTACACGGCCTACGTGCGCGTGCGCCGCCGTCACGACCAGCTCACCGTCAACCCTGCGCGACTTACCACACTCGTCACCGACGCGTTCGCCGTGGCGTGTGAGCGGGCGAGGCAGCGCGCCGAGCAGACCCGAACGGAGACCACGGACGGACTGTCCCCGGTCAGGCCCGCAGAGGAGGGCCAGGAAGACGGGGAGGGCGAGGACCCCGCCGCCGCGCCACAGGAGTCACAGACGGATCAAAAACAGCCCGCCCCGGAGCCCGAGACGGAGCCGGAGCCGGAGCCGGAGGCCGGGCGGTGGTTTTACGTGAGTGACACGCACGTCACAGAGGTGACTCTGGACAAGGTGCTCAAGGCGCAAGCTTACATGCTGATCTACGAGCGAATTGTGTAAGCGACTGCGGTAGCTTGGGATGGTGCTCTGTGCACGGGGCTGTGACGGCGCGCGAATCGTGTCCCTCAGTCTGACCGAGGTGTGACTTCGGAAAGGTCAAGTTTTTGAATAAATACATGCTTACCTTCCGGTATTCATCAAATAAAAATTTCACCATCCGCCAATGCGAGGCACCCGCCACCGATCGGCATGCATTAAGTTCACAAAGTTTGTCGACCCCGGCTCGCAATGAAGATCTACGAACCGATCAAAATCTCATTGGCGTTCTTCCAGCGCCCGCCACGTGCCAGCCGTGCACCCCAGCGAGCGGAAACCTAGAAAATGCGTTGACCGGTGACGTCACCTATAAGGTGTGCAAATTTCAACCTCCTACGCCGTACCGTCTGCCCTGTAGGCGAGGTTAATTGAACCCACTACACGGCGTGGCGGACAAACAAACAAACAAACAGACAGACAGATGGATCCTGTTCGATTAGTTATTTAGACAAGCGGCTGCGCCACTTGCTTTGCTGCGTGGTAGGAAAAAATTGCGGCACCAGCCAATTTGCTTTCGAATGGTGTTCGATTCAAATTGATGTGTCGTCTAGAAGCATAGGTATGGACGGAAATGTGAAGAGAATTTAAAAAAGAACTGTTCTTAAGGGTTTTTTTTAATGAAATTTGGGTGATACGGGCTCAACATGGGTCAAGGGAGCCCGGTCACTTTGGATGAGGCCAGGTCCCATTCACCTCCTGTCCGATGGGATCAGCCCGGGCCACACTTCTACTTTTGCCTCCACCACTACCCCTACCCCTACCACTACCCCTACCCCTACCCCTACCACTACCCCTACCCCTACCCCTATCCCATGAGATCCCATACCCATCCCATACCCATCCCATCCCATCCCATACTCGAAGAGGGCAAAAAACGCTTTATCACCGCTCATTGCCAAAGAAAACTGAGGAAGATTTTGGAAATCACGTGGGTTGTATAGCGGAATGGCTGCTACCAGTTTACGTGGTCAAATGTGTAAAAATACGCAACACTTCTTCAAAACTGCGATGGCCCATACCTCCCGGGTCTCCCCTACCTCTAAAGCTCTGGCCCCAAAATCGTCACTGACTTATCAGCCAATGAGCGTAGAGTATAGACTTACGCTGATTGGTCCGATTGCTGCGTTTGTCGTTTAGAATGCTCATCGCTCACGGTGCTGACAATGCTAGCGCAAATTTCGCCACTTTTCGTAATGTCAAAAGACCGGGGGGCACCCACCTGACTGAATCCATTCTGCCGCGTCCCACAGGGGCGTGGTTCAATCGCTGATTGAGAAACACTTTCCTGCGCCGGACCGCGACCGCATCAGTCGGCTGCTGGGCATGCAGCCGGACCGGCCGTCGCCACAGTTCCAGGCCATTCTGGACGAGATCAAGGACGAGGCCTCGGCCAGCGGCGCCGCCAAACGAAAGCCAGGTCGGTACTGCCAGGCTGGTGCTGCTTGTCTGACTCATGTTCTGCTTTTGGGCAGAAGTCGAAATATGTCAGTTTTAATTCCTCTTTTTCGATTGTAACTAAGAATACGAGATGAGCCATAGTCATACGTTAGTCTGCGTATGAGGATAAGTATATCCACCTAGCAATTACATTTACTAGAGTACAGGCTTTCGCTATAACTGTTTGTTTTGATATGTACGAGTGGTTATCGAAAAGTTCTGATCATCACATAGGAGTAATAGACCGATTTCAATCATTTTTGTTGGTATTATATTTGGTTCTGAAGAACAATGTTCATGCATAGAAGATACTGAAAAGTGGTTTTATTATATGTAGGAAAGACTTGAAAGTAAAAAAGATGAGCACTGGGCCCATCGAGGACCGAACCGTCATCCAACTAATACATTTGAAACGGTATACCACTGAGAAAATACATCAATAACGCGAAATAAGTTTTTTGGCGAGGAAAGCCCATCTCATGCACTTACCGGAAGTGAAGAAATGATATTCAACTTGGTTGCATGGCCCTTGCAGGGGAGTCAAGAAGTGAGTGGCTACCAATGGCTGACAAGGTGGTGACTGTGAAGGTAGTGGAGGACCTCATCCTTACAGATCGTCGTGTCACCTTTCAGATGATTATGCAACATAAATTGCTCAATGCTGGCAGTACCTGAAAACATTATCAGCAAAGAACTACACACGATAAAGGAGTCAGCCAGCTTAGAAGTTCGTGTATTAACTTTGTTCAAGAAAATGGTGCCTCTTAGGAAATTGAAGAAATTGTCGATCGTTTGAGGACTTTTGACGAGTGCTGGGTGTATGTGTATGATTCAGAGATAAAAGAGATTATCAAGAAGTTGGAGCATAGCACATCTGTCCTTAAAAAGTGAAGATTGCAGAAGCCGATAGGGAAGGTCAATGCTCTCAGTGCTCTGGATCTGGCGTAGGATAGTCACTACCGACTGCCCTGATGATGGTCGGATAATAACTAGCACGTATTACTGCACACTTTTGAAGAAGTTTCGATGTACCTTCGAGCAGAATTGCCACAAAGAAGCACAAGAAAGATGTTTTAACCTTTACCGACAGTACCCCCACTAATTCGGCCTGAGCTGCCATTGAACAAACAACATGATGTGGACATGAAATCCTACCGCATCTAACAAATTCATCTGACCTGGTATTAAGTGACTGGATTGTTACGGGAGATGAAGAATTCACAGTATGGCCGGTGTTTTAAGGACTGAAATGACGTCATTTAATGAGGTGGAGCAGTGGTTTACTGGACAATGCGAAGGTTCCACAGTGACGGCCTGAGGCAGCTAAAAAAAACATTCAAGAAGTTTTTTTTTAACAATTGTATTCAGCTTATGACATCGTTTCACACGCAAAGATAAGAAGAGAAACAACAGAGTAAACTGATCGCCTAGTGACTCCCAGAATCCTACACACTTTTACAATCCTTTTTAGCTAGACCGGTCAAATGCTTCAGCCAACCCTGCCCACTTCTTTTCATGGTCACATAATTTTCCCCTTTTAAGCGCTATGTGTTTTTCCGTGATCATGTCCCTTTTCAATATAGTTAATAAAATGTCAACAGAGAGTAGGTATTTACCAGCAATCATCGTTTTGCCTACGATGATGATATGATTAATAGCCAGCAATTCATCATTTCCTAGAATTATCATTTTTAAGTTAAAAAAGACATGTTTTGAACTAAGCCTACGTTCCTCAGATATGTTTCAACGTCATTCCAAAATGCTCTGACCAATGGACAAAACCAGAATCTGTGCATTATAGTATCAATACATTGCGTACATCTGTCACATCTATACGATACTGTTATGCCCATTTGGTAAACGTTTTGTTGCCACAATTTTCGTCAAAATTTTTAATTGTAGTGTTCGATATTTAACCGAAATTAGTCTAAGATTTGCTTCATATACTTTCAACCAGTCAATCTATCCCATCTCTTGCTCCCAACCCAACTCCCAACTGTTTTTACTTCCCTCGTATTTATGATGTAGAAGTGTGTTATACATATACTTACTGCCTTTTTCTGACTAATGATCGCTTTAACATTTGGGTGAATAATATGATATGCTTCCTTTACTTTACCTTGTCTGTTTTTCCATTCAACAGGCAGACTATGTACCAGACCTAGATAATCTATTATTGTCCCTTTCAGATCATAAGTAACTTTTGCTTCCTCAAAGGACATTATTTCTCCATTGTCCCTTAACCCTAGAACGCCTAGGGGGGGTTGTATCAACCCCCCCCCTGAGGTTTTTTCGAAGTGCACGCTAAACGGCTTGTCGTAGCGGGCTGAAATTTTCAATACCCTCTGGGGCAACCTTTGCGCATCTTTTGCCGAAAAAAAAATTGATCGGGTCATGTCAGGTCACGGAGTTATGACGTCGTAAGAGATACAGCCTCCGGCCGGATTTTCACAAACTGAGTGCCAACGCCCGAGGTTTCCTGCCGGTGGTACAGACATCGGTTGATGGATCGTGATGAAACTTCCCATGCATGTTGGGGCAAGTATTGGCTATCATATGGTGTAAGAAATTTGACCGGGTCAGGTCAGGTCACGGAGCTATGACGTCACAAGAGGAACAGCGTCCGGTACTATTTTTGAAAAGCGCCCGAACCACTATTTTGCTAATTCTTGTCACCTCAATGGGAATATGCAGCAATATTAGCTTCTATAGGAAGCAAATGGACCTCCCAAATCCAAAAATACAATCAGATTTCAAAAATTTAAATTTTGATTTTTCGAATTTCTGCCGCCGACTGTGACCTTGCCGACTTCCGGCGCTCCCAACGCGCCATTTTTAGAGCTAGGGAAACGAAATACATACCAAACGATAGAGAATTGATCAAGGAACACGATAGTGAAGGTTTCAAGTCGATATCTCCCACCGTTTTGCCGCAATCGCCGCCGAAAGTTGAAAAAAGTCTATTTTTCCGAAAATTTGACCTTTGACCGGTCAAAAGTAGGTCAAATGTTGACCTAGGACCAAAAAAATATACCACCAATCGCGAGATCTCGTTGAGAGCAATCCGTGTTTTTTTTCCGCTAAGCTCTACGACCTTCCGTTTCGAAACGCCAGGGGGGGTCGTAACAACCCCCCCCCCCCCTGGTCGTTCGTGTTATGAGAAATGGCCTGGTCGTGCGAGGGTTAATAGATCATTGAAATAAACTATTCCTTTTTGCCTCCATGCTTTTATTTCACAGTTTCTAAATTTTGTATGATTTGAAAACCACACGGAGTGTCGATTAACATCTTCTATGTCCACCATGATGCTCTGATCATATTTTGCCATTGCTCGTACAACATCTGTCCAAAATTTATTGGACATATTTCTTCCCATTTCCAATAATGAATCTGCATTGCGCTCCCAGATAAACTGGAATCGTGCTATTTCTTGCCTAAACAACTTGCACCAGTCATGATTACCCATGATTTATCTCCTCACCCATGTAACTTTCAGGGCGGTATCGTACGTGTCAACATCTACCATATTACACCCTCCCTTTAAATGATCTCTATAAATACTACTTCTTTTCAACCGATCAATTTTCCGTTCCAAATGAACTGTAATAATGTCGCTTTCAACTTTTTCATAAACTCCTCTGGCGGACTGGGGAGTGATGTAAGTATATGTGTCAAAATCGGTAGTAACAACGTCTTGATGATTATGATTTTACCACCCAACGAAAAATTGCGTCTATTCCAGCTGGCAATAATTGCACTAATTCTCGTTAGCTCGCTGCCATAGTTTTCTTCCACTGATTGAGTCTCGTCATTAGCAAAAATGATTCCAAGAACCTGAAGTTTCTTTGTCCATCTTAAAGCCAAATCCGAACAAATTGGCTCTCTTGTTTCTGCATCCTTACCTACCCAAAACGCCTGGGTCTTCTTAATATTAGGTTTTAATCCAGAGTATTTAGCGAAGATTCCTAAGTCTTCGAATAAAACCCTACAACTATTCACGCTACCATCTAAATAGCACATCACATCGTCCGCGTAAGCAGACATCTTGATTTCCAAATCACCTACTCTGACTCCAGAAATATTTCTGTTTTGTTTAATTCTTTGAAGCAATGTGTTCATTACAATCACAAAAATATATGGGCTAAGAGGGTCTCCTTGTCTACATGATCTTCCTAACTTGATCCGTTTTGATATATGTCCATTATAAACAATCAATGAGGCAGCCTCTGAAGAAAGCGTATCGAACCACCGAATACAAAATGCAGGGAAGTTTAACTTCTTCAACATTACGCGAATGAAGTCCCAGTTAACTGAATTAAAGGCATCCTGAATGTCCAAGCTAAGAAATAAAGCACTTCTCTCTGTTCTATTTAAATGATGAATAAGGTCATATGTAAGTCTAATGTTGTCACCAATAAATCCACCCTGTATAAAACCCGTTTGTTCATGACCAATAACATCTGGTAAGACCTTCTTTATTTTATTTGCTACTACAGATGCAACTATCTTATAGCTCGAATTTAGTAACGTTATCGGCCGATATGATTTTATCTCATCTTTAGGCTTCAGAGGTTTTGGAATGAGTGTTACAATTCCCTTAGTTAAAGACGTTGGTAGCCTACCATTTTCATAGCTTTCCATTACCATTCTATGGAAAAAAGTTTTCAGTCTTTCCAGAATAGCTTATAAAATTCTGCTGGAAATCCATCTGTTCCCGGCGCCCTATTATTCGACATTCCTTTTAAGGAATCTGTAAGGTCCTGAAGCGTCACCGGTCTATTCAATTCCTTAAACTGTATTTGTGAGAGCTGTTCCATATGTAGATCATCTACAAATTTCTCCGCCTCTGTGCAATCAATGAGCTGTTCAGTAAATAACTCAGAAAAATGTTGAACTAATATATCCATTATTTCTGTTTGTTTCGTTCTCCGTTCATTATTTGCATCACACAGACAAGCAATGTTTTTATTAACATAATTT